CTGGGGAGCGAGAGAAAGGGACAGAACAGTCAGCCTGTTAATAGCTGGGGGCCAGCTAACAAGACGGCTCACATTCCTGAGTGTATGTTGGAACTTTGAATTAACTTCTAGGTGACTGTTTCCCAATTACCTAAAAGTGAGAGCAGCCAGGCACCATCAAGCTCCAGGAGCCTCCGTTTCTTATTTACATATGAACTTTCTGGACTGTTGTCCACAACCAATCCAAAGTAGCAAACACTTCTTCCTTATGGACTCTGTGCCTAACCCCATACTAGTCCTGCTTTACCTTCTCCCACTCCCTTTATTGATAGCCAATGAAAATTCTTTCAAAACAACTTACATCTTTCTTCACCCTACTTGATGTGTAAAGAAAGCCTGTCAGCCCCAGGACAGTGGACATGTTGCTTTCCTACCTAGTGCTGCTGCTGGTGGTTTAGACTTCATGCCCTAGGAGCTGGTGTTTTTTCAATTTTTCTTGCTAGCAATGGCCCAATAAGCCCTTTCTTTCAAAAAGACTTTCAGCTGTGGAAGTTAAGTTTATTGTTTTATACTAGCAACTCAGAATCCCTCAGGCTGTTTTTCTCTTCTCCAAGCCTATGGGTGAATTGTGGGGTCCTCTCGCCTCTGCTTTCCTAAATCCTTCTGCTTCCTCCCCTATCTGGGTATGTCCCAAATTCAGCTCCTCAAAATGTGTTTAAGGGTCTGAGTTATAAATAAGAGGCAGCAGCACATGCTAGTTATAAAGTGTTTGGAATTTAGGGAAGAGAGAAAGGAAGGACAGAAGGCAGTTCTTCAGAAAGTTGTTCAGAAAATGAGAAATATTAAAAGGCTGTTTAACTGATATTACAGACACTAAAGTTCCATAAAAAATATAATTATTAAAAACAAGGTTTATAAACATTTTTATTTTTCCTTAAATGGCTCTTGAGCAGACCAGATGACTCACTACTGGTCTACTGAGATGAGCCTGGGGAGTTGTAACAAATTTGTATGGCTTATATTGTTTAGCATGCAGACCCAATTCTGTGTCATATTATTCTCACAGAAACTCATTTATTACAAGCTTCTCTATAAATCTACTTAGTATATATATTTCACTTAATACCTAAGAGCCATACACCATTGCATGCCATTAAATATACCATACTCTTGTGGAGACACCATAGTTTGCTTTAATCATTCCCCAAATGTTAAGAGATTTCAGTTGTTTCATCCCTTTAATGTTGCAATTAATGCAACTATCCTCCCTTTATCTCAGTAGAGGTGATTCTTTACTTCTCTAATTTATTTCTTTGTTTCTTTGGGTGCATATTTATGCATAAACAGGCAGGCTTTATAATTGTTCATTGTTTTAGTGTTTGCTTCTATGTTATTGTCCAAAAAAAAAAGGTTTTGCTGGATCGAAAACATGATTAGTTTTATGGCTGTTATTGGCTTTTGGTAGATTTTAAAGAAAGATTTTTTTCCCCCCAGGCACTTTGCAATCACTTGGTAGACTTTCACTAAATACTTCTTGATGGATTACTCTTTTCTTTTAAAAGAAATTCCCATGCAGAACCTTCCCAGATGAAGTCTCAGGATAAGGAGTGTACCAGGCTCAGCCATATTGTCAGGGGGATAGCCCCAGGGACCTATCATATCATGAAGACGACTCTGTGGTGTCCCAGACTTAGACATCCATGAAACTACAGGCTTGTTTGAATAGCATACAAGGCCAAAGATCTTGTTAGAAAAAAAGTTCTAGGTAGACTGAGATAAAGAGATTCATTTCTAGTCACTTTTCTTTAAAAAAAATTCTTGTCATTTTAAAATCCTGATGATATACAGATGATCCTTGCTTAATCTATGGGTAACCTCTCATATAGACAGAATCACATTTGTGATTCTGTTTGGACTTGGATTTGTTGTAAAAGGGATTTAGTTGCTAATTATTTATGTTGAGTAAATGCTAAGAGAAGTGTGAGCAGACTATGTGTAAGCTCAGGGGGAGACTTTCCTAAGGAGGTGATATTTGAGTAGGTATTTGAAGGAAAATGGATTTTCACCAGATGGGCAGTGAAGAGGCTAGTTTGGGCAAGATATACTGAAGAGTTTGGATTTCTTCATGTATGGTGCCATTCATTGAAGACTTTAAAGCAGCAGAAAAACAGGAGTCTGAATTAGTACAATGAACGTTTACTTTGCAAAGGCCTCATAAGAAAAACTTGCGTGTTCTATTATTTTATTTGATAAATTCAGTATGTACTGTTGCATTTTATTCTTGCTTAAGTTATATCAGAAACTTTTCATATTTGCAGAAAATTCCAGAGGAGTAAGGACAGGCCCTTACTACAGTAATCATTGAGTATGATAATAGCATTCATAGAGAGCATTATGCCTTTAAAAAGTTGAGAGCTATCCAGGACATGTCACTCCCAAATATATCTCATAGCAGTCATCATTCCTCCTTCCTGGTGAAGGCCAATGTGTCACGTTGGGTTGATTGTGCAGACCAGGTTTTTCACCAGGCCAGTTTTTAAGTCCTCAAGGGTGACCTGGCTGAAGAGGGATTATAAACCCATAAAGGTGGTCTGGTTGGCAGACTAGGATTGACACTTTGTAAAGTAGAATGCTCGGCTTGGTCAAAATGAGACACAAATAAGGTGATTTTTAATGGGGTTGTGGGTGGGGAGGACAAGCAGACGAGGGTGCTTTATGGGAGTGGGTAGGGAGGCTTGGATAAAGGACTATTTTGGGAGAGCCTAGAAACCACACAAGCATCCCAGACACCCAGGCTAGTGGAGAAGGCAGTGGAATGAGGAGAATCATGAAAAAGGGTAAATAAGAGAATGGAAGAGAAATTCTGTCAACTCATTTTTGTTTGTGGATGCTCCTGCCCTCAGTGACCTATTGCAATTTTATAAATTCTTACTCATTCCATAGGGTGTAGATAATGGAAAAGGCTTCCACTCTGGTTTGGCCAGCTTTTGTGAAGTGAGAAGAAAGGCCAAAAGGAAGTGCTTCTACATGGAGATTCAAGTCATGCTGCCAGGGCTGGTCTAGGCGCTAGGGAAGGCTGTTGAAGGTCTTGGTCAAGTTATTGCTTTGCCATGATGTCTCTGCAACTGTATAGTACTTGATGTCTGCTCAGCAAATCTGAAGACAGTGAGGTATTGTGACCGGGGCTGGGTAATTCTGGGTAGGCCTCTTTTCACTCTGCCCACATGTAAGACTGTCCTTATTTTGGACACCAAATGAAGGACAGATATTGCTACAATAATTTCTGTGTTGAATAGGACCATGGCTACATTTTGAACAATTTAGTTCAGATTTGTGTGAGTAGCCTCCACAAGCCTGCACCTGGCAAGGGGAATACCCTGCTGCTATAGGGAACTTAATTGCCATTTGTCTGTTTTCTGGCCTGTTTTGACTTCAGCGTGAGGATTTTCTCTCCAGAGGCCTTGATTTGGAAGTCCCTATTCTATAGGGCTACTTGGGTGCTCCTAGTTTCAACCTGGCTTCAATGGGGACAAAACCAGATAATCAAGATGGGTGGTCTGCTGGGGGGAATGCAAATATCATTGATCAAAATTGGTGAATAGGGAGAGAGGCTTGAGAGTCTGGGATAGAGCATGAAGTTTTTTAAAAAAAGTCATATTACTTCCAGTTGAAATTGCCAGTCACTTATTCAGGTGGATATGTCCAAAAAGGCTGACGTTTCTATAGCAGCAACAAATAAGACTTTATTCATCTGAGTGGATGAGATACACTGGAGAAGGAAAGGGGGAGCAGTTCTCACAAGCTTCCCTTGACTGTCTCCCACCAGAATCTCTTTATTTCCAGGATAAAGGAGGATGCAGAGCGTCTGTGGGGAGCTACCTATTTTTACAATAGCTGTAGTTCTGAGTGCTGAGTGTCATATCTGCCCAGGCAAGTTGCAGTATTTTCTATACTGAGCAAGGCAGCTTCCTCTAGACACGGACACACCTATTTTAGAGGGAGGAACAAAACATTGCTTCTAGAACCATTTCCAACTTCATATAGAAAAATGAAATCAGGTTGGAGAGTGAAGAGCTACATATGGGTAAACTGAGCCCCAGTATTAAAAATTGCCCGAGAAAGTGGGCTGTAAAGTTAACCACTCCTTCTCATCACAGCTTTCTCTTGCATGGCTTCATTTCTGCTGGGAACATAGTGTGTCATTTAACGATGGGACGGACACACAGGCTTTTAAGTGCTCCCATATAAATGACCTCGGCTGACAGCAACCACTTTTCAGATGAGGAATGGAATCGTCAGTGATGCAGCCAGTCGTGGGTCGCGATCTCCTCACAGTGGGACCTGTACTCCTTCCACCCCACGGGGCATTTCGGCCAGCGGGGCTGGAGGGGCAATTGCCAGAGAGGGCTCTGTAGAGCCGGGTCCAACTGCTGAGTTGGCTTGAGGGAGGAGGCACTTTGCCAGGGCCGCCGCAAGTCCCGGAGCGTACGGGGTGGCTGACGCTGTCCGGGGGGCGTTCCTGGGAGCTGGGGGCCGAGGAGGTCAGACCCGAAGCCCCGGGAGTAGCCGGCCCGCGGCCACGTGACCGACAGCGATGGGGCGGGCTGCCCAGAAATAGCAGCGGCGACGGTTCCGCCAGCGAGTGCTGCGAGGGAAAGGCGGAGACTGGAGGACTGTGACTCGGCGCGGGCGCGGCGCGGTCCCGGCCCCGGAGGATGCTGAGCCCCTACCCGGACCAACCCCGAGCACATGATGGCGATACGGGAGCTCAAAGTGTGTCTTCTGGGGGTGAGTCCTGAGCCGCCATCCGCAGGGAACGCCCTCATCCGTGTGCCTCCCACGTCCCCTGCTTCCCATCGTCCCTGCGCCCCTCTCGTCCCTTGCACCCCACTAGTGTGTGTGTCCCCTCTTATCCCCGCGCCCCAGTCATTCCCTGGGCCCCCTTGGCCCGTGCACTCTCCTCTTCCTCCGCATCCTCTCCAATACATGCGCCCCCTCTTTCCTGGCGCTCCCCTAATTCATGCATTCCCCGGGTCCCCGTGTCCCCTCGTCTCCTGGGATTCCCCCCTGTCCCCGCGACCCTGGGGCCCGGGGCCCGCCCCCATCCCACCCCTGCTGGGGTCCGGGTTCGAGCCTATAGGGAGCTTTCTCGACTACGTCCACCCCTGGCTGGACGCTTTCCCGGGATCTGCTCGGACTTCGCCGCGCTGGGGGGCAGGGCCAGGCCGGGCGCCCAGGTCCCTCCGCGGTGACAGGAAGAGCGGCGGCGGGACCTGGCCACCGCCAGGGCCCCTTCGGCCGCGGAGAGCTTTCTTCTTCGCCTTTGATAATTTCCTTCCGGCGGAAACTTTAAGTTACTCGGACAAGGCGCGGAGTCCTCTTTTGCCTCTCGGGGACAATTGGTTTCTTCACTTTTAAAAAAGAAAGCCCAGCTAAGGGTGGGAAAGCGCAAGGGAATGGTTGGGGTGGAAGGTGAAGAAAGTACTGCAGAGTTTTGCGGCTAGAAAACTTTTGTGCCGCCGATAAAGGCAGAGTGAGAAAGTCCTCTATCATCACTTCCCCTTCCAAAGTGGGTCTTTCTGAGCCTGAAGAATCGTGAAGGGAGCCAGGAACAAAAACAAAAACAAACACCCAAGCTGTGGGTTCTGGCAGACCGGTCTGATAACTCGAACCCCCCACTTCCCCCCTCCGGGGGAGTTTGGAGATTGTTAAGAATCCTTCCTTTCTTTCCTTTTTTTGGGGTGTGTGTGTGTATCGGGTGGGGGGGGGCGCCACATCAAAGAACAGAATTACTTCTTTTGAAAGAGCTAATTTTAAGCCGTTTTCAGCAGCCTTTGGCATCGATGCCTAGTTGCACTGCCCTTGGCAAATCTGGTCCCTAGAAAACCATTTCCTAAAAAAAGAGCAGCGTAAGGGTATACCTATTCTTACTTGTCTCAAAGAAATGCTAACTGGTCTGTCAAGATGGATGTACAGGAAGCGTATAAAGAGGAAATGATTCTAGGTTAGGATTGAAGTGTAGCAGACCAATAGGGTGTCCAGGCTCCATCCAGGCTCTTCTGGACCCTTCGGCAGGACAGTGTTCTTGACTGTCTCCCATCACTGTCTTTTGCCAGAACTCTCATTTCCACTAGACTGTCCAGTTGGCCTAGAATTTCAGAGCATCTGGCAAAGGCCCTCCCTTTCTTGTTCCCCGGGCACAAACTACCCAGTGTTCCCTCCCCCTGGCTGGCTCAGCCACAGCTGGGATCTGGATAGGATGCTGCTCTGGTCTTCCTCTGTTGACCTTTACCAGTGTTGCAGGGGAGGGTTTCACTGTCTGCCAGGATTTCTAACATAGTCCAGACATCAATTTCTGGAACCCCATGTTTTCCTTTTGAGGTATCACTTCAGCCTCTCAGAAGGCCTTCTTCATGGAGGAAATGTTGCATCCCAAGGAATCAAGAGGCAACTTTGACTTGTGTTGTGTGTGTCAGGCCTGGCCTTGGGAATAAATGAAGTAGAAAATGTTTTGCCTTTTCCCCCCTTGTCATCCATTTAGGTGGCACAGGCCCTTCCCCATCACAGGAATTACTTTCAAGTTCGTTATTTGGTGAGTCTCTATATCCTTCTACAAGGAAATGAATCAGGAGGCAGCAAACCTGAGTTCTCATTCTTTCCCACTCACTAGCCTTGCAATTACCTACAAGTATCTCAGTCACTTCATCTATAAAATGGACATAATAACAACTTCCCTTTTAAGGCAGAGTACTATACCAGATGATTTCCCCAGATATATAGTACCATTTCCTGTTAACCTATGATTCCAGAGTGACAATTAGCAAATCTGGGAGATGAGAAAGCTGGAGAAAACCCCTTTACTTCTTTTATCTCTGAGAATGAAACACTCTTAGAGGCTTCCTGGAGACTGTGCCTCACCCTTGTTTGCTAGTTGTTTTGCAGTGGCTTTGTTGGTAGAAGTTTGAGTTTGGAAGGGGAGAACAGTGCCAAAGCAGAGCAAAAAGAGATTTCTGGAAAGATAGGGGCTTTGAAGTGTCAATCATATCACACCATGTCCATGGTCTTTTTTTGAGTGGCTCTAGATTTTAGTCTTATTTAGATCAAAGGATATCTTATTTGAAAGGCCAATGACCTTATTATCCACACTGAATAATATTTGTTAAGTCCCCCAGTTTGGCTGGTCTTGTGCTGCTCATCCAAATAGGGTGATTCTCTGGGTGAGAGAGCATTTGGGTGAGGCAAAAGCCATTGTAACTGCCTTGGGTTTGCTCTCTTGATTTGAGAGAGAACTCTGTGGGTCAGTGGCTGGATGACAGAGTCAATGCCAAGTCCAAAAGCCCTTTCAAAAATTTAACAGGAGCCCGAGCTCCTTTGCACTTTGTGTTGGGAGGTCTGTGAAGTTTTGCTTGTGGCTACCACTCAACTTCCTATTTTTTAGCCACTGCCACACCTCCCTAAAATCTCAATATGACCAAGACCGTAGCAGCCACACCCTCTATTGGGGTTACTTGCTGTTGGGCCCCATTGAAAAGGTGATGGAGAATGGCGAACTCCTAACTGGACTCTTGCTGTCTCACTGGAGAGGCTGAGGGGCTAGTCTTTTTGTGCCTGGTCATTTGTCCTGATTGCTCAGAGATTACTTGGGGATGTACTTCCCATTTAAGGCACAAGGTTGTTTTTTGCATGGACAGAGCAGGCTTTTATCCCTCTTAGCTATAGTCTCTTGCTCCCTTTGTGGGGTCAGAGGTTCCCGATAGGTGGATCATTTGCAGCAGGTAGAAGTGAGAATGGGCCAAATGGGCAGATCTTTTTTATCTGTACCTGTACCTTTCAGAGCCCTGATGATAGGTATATCTGATCTTATTTTGGGGGGGGCAAGTTGCTCCTAGATGGAATTGACAACAGCCTGTGGAACATTCTGTGACTGTTTTGTGTTCTTGAAAAAACTAAGGACTCAAAGAGTCTTGGGTTTCTTTAGGCTCCCTGTTATACATTCTTGGCTCTCACTGATCTCATGGGTGGACTTTCTTGCCTTTTTCCTAAAGACCCTTCCTGGGATACGCCAGGCCATCCATGGAAGCTAGCCATGCAGGAGGGTGTGTTTGATAGGGGTCCTTGCTTGACACCTAGGATCCCATGGGTTCTTGGCAATAGAGTGCCAATTGTCCCACTTTGTAATCTCAATTAGTATTATGAAACATGTATCTTTTTTTTTTTTTTTTAGATTTTTTTATTGGGGAATTGGGGGGATGGGAACAGTGCTGGGGTATTGGGGGAAGGGGAACAGACAAGTTGCTGTTGTTGTTTTGGTCTTCAGTCTAGTTGTGGAGGACGTTGCTTCACTGGCCCAAGTTGGCACCATCATTGCGCTCTTCTCTGGTGAGGCAGATCAGTCGCCGGCTTCTGGATGGCCGCTCACTGCGGCTGCTGGCTGCTCACACTGGCTGCTGGCCACACACGGTAGCCCATGGCAATGCAGTGCCACAGGGACTGCAGCCCACGCCGTCGCCGGCGACTCATGGCAGGCCAGCTCCAGGTTGAGCTGTTGTTCAGCATCTTAGCTGTGGAGGGCAGTGTCACTGGCCCTCATATGTGGGATCCGAACCGGGGCCCTCTGGCATCCCAAGCGAGTTCTTAACCATCGCGCCACTCGGCCGGCCCTGAAACATGTATCTTAAAAACAACTCCCTTAAAAACAACAAAGTATGTTAAAAAACACTAACAAAAACAATATTGAGGCAGCAGCTGTTCCAACCCCAAAGGTGGAAAGCTTCCCAGTATGCATTTTTAACACACATCATCATGTGGCAAAAAGCGAGAGGAGAAAGGGAAGGGAGAGGAGGAAGAGAAAAGGACAGGAGAAAAGGAGGAGGTAGAGGGGAGGATCATTCTTTTATTATTTCCCCTGGGTGTGTAAGTGCATACACTTAAAAACTGCTTCCGGATGGACTCCCAAAGAGATTTGTATTTGGACTTCAGTTGTCTTGACAACAGTTTAGAGATTTCTGCCACTTCCTCAACAGCTGAGTGACACGGTTAAAAGACAACTGAAGGCATCCCTGCTTCTGGTAAGGAGCTTGGTGAAGCCTCTCTATTTGGCCTTTGTTGGAATCTATGGTGGTTCATCCCTGAGCAGTAAAATATCTGGGATTTGGTGTGACATCTGGGCAGTGGAGGCTCCAGATACATATGTACAGGGCCTTCACATGAAAGGGCTATGTGGTTCCCAAGGGCACTAGCACTCAAGAGTGGAACAGATTTCTACTCGCTCCATAAGGCAGATCAGTCAAGTGCAGTGGAACCTCAACTGGACTGCTTTGAGCAATAGTGAGTTCCCATTACTGAAAGTATTTAATAAGGTTACATGAATTTGTTAGGGTCATTGTGGAAGGAATGAATGCACAATATGGGGAGGACTGGGCCAGACAACCATTGCACTTGCTTTCTAAGTCTGAGATTCTGTTAACATACTCATTTTTTTCCCTTTTCTTTCTCAGAAATTAGCATTTCTCTTGGGGATGAGAAGGTATAAAGAGAGGCTAGCAATATAATGTATTTTTTTTTTACCCACACCTGATTCCTCTGTTAAATATTACCCTTTGTGGAAAGTGTGGTTCAGTGTTGGTGCTGGGTAGAGAATAAATATAAATGATACAGAGGGATGTCTTCCCAGCAGTGCCCAGCATATAGTAACCTGGAATACCCAGGCCAGGGTGATAGAATACACCAGGGTCCCTTTGTTCTCCTTTGTTCAAGATTAGCATCAATGCAACTCTCCCTCAGATTTC